TTCTACTTCCCGATCTCCTGCATGTAGATGCCAACCGTCCAGCTGGAAACACTCAATCTTGAGCCAATATCCTTCAGCGTTGTACGTGGATTCTCTTCCACTAACGCTCTGAATTGTTCGTTGCCAACGGCCGATGGCCGCCCACTGCGCTCATCATCTTCCAGGCTCTCATCACCGGTACGAAATTTTTCAAACCACCACTGTGCTGTGCGTTGATTCATCGTACCTAGATCTAAGTCATCGTTGATATCCCGGTCCGTTTCCGTCGCACTCCTGCCCAACTTGGATTGGAAAAGAAAAATCATGCGGCTCTGTTGTTTGTCCATGCTGATTTCGACCTTCTAAAAAACCCTAGGAACCACTCCAGTGCAAAACCGATTATATATTTGGATAGAGTAAGAAATGCGCTCCAGAATGGTGTAAAACATGCAAGAAATCTAATAGCGAATAACATCGCGGCGAGCATTTGAAAATTGGGCGTCAAAAACCGCAAGAACTTTATTCACGACCTAATAGCTCTGCCCGGTTTTGATTCAGATTTGAAGTATTTAGCTCCACAACTCTCACACTCAACGTTCATGCGTCCGTCGTAGTGCTCCTCTGGTTCGGTATTCGACAGGGCAAGGCTGCGGGGCAATTCTTCTGGTTCTTGCTGCAACAGTTCTGCTTCGCACATGGTGTCTTTGTGATTCGATACGCCGTCTTTCTTCGATTTGACTTTCTGTAAAGCTCGCTCCTCGTGTTCGCTCTCTCTTTCGCTCTTCACGTCGCTCATCGCCTTCTTGCTGCCTACGGGATCTTGCTCGTTTTGCATCACGTGTTTGTCTAGCCCTTTCCTGTTCTCTGCTTTCCTGAGTTCGTTGCGACCTAGTTCTTGCAACGTTAGCTATCAGGCGAGCTCTTGTCTGCTCCTCCCTTTCTTGCTCTCTTCGTCTCCTTGCTCCTTGAGCAAGCGTTTCCAAGCGAGCTTGTCGCTGTTCCTCTCCTTCTTGCTCCCTTCGTGCTCTTGCGCTTTGACTGAGCCGTTCTAAGCGAGCTCGCCTTTTTGTCTCTCCTTCTTGCTCCCTTCGTGCTGTTGCCCTTTGACTGAGCCGTTCTAAGCGAGCTTGTCTTTGTTCCTCTCCTTCCTGTTCCCTCCGCAGCCTTGCTCTTTCTGAAACCCCTTGTAGGCGAGCATGTCGTTGCTCCTCTCCTTCCTGCTCTCTTTGCTCTGTCGCTGTCTCTGCAAGTCTTTCTAAGCGATCTTGCCGCTGCTCCTCCCCCTCTGTTCCCTACGCATTCTGGCCGTTTCTGCAAGTCCTTCTCCCTCTTGGTCTCGTCTCAAACTAGCTCTTTCAGCAGCCCTTGTTGTATTAGCTCTTCCTGCTTTTCACTTTCTTGACTTCCTTCTGTTCCGCTGACATCTTCGGGAAGAGTTCCTCTGGTTCCACTCATCGTCTTCTGCAAAGGGTTCAGATCAGATGCAGAAACTGAAACACGATCTAGAAACAGCACAACATTCAAGGTCAGGCATAATGCCGCGAACGATTGTGTATTACTTTGACTGTTTCTTTTCCTTCTGGATGTGACCCACCTCTCCATCTTTCGTTTGTTTATTTTCTTTCTCTTAACAGTATTCAAGTCAGATCTGTCAGAAAGCCGTCGTTTCCTCCCATCTTTTTTCCCTGCACCACCTCTACCTACACGGATAGAGGGTGTAGAAAGAAGTGTTTATCATGTAGCAATTTACCTTAAACAAAAAACTCCTTGAATCATGATTTTCAACCATAAAAAGGACCAAAAATTGAATTTCAATTGAATTAGAGTGGCAAACCACACCTTAAAGAATGATGTCACCTGGTGCACGTGGAAACGGTGGAACATAAATCTCAGCATTCGAGTGGAAAAAAGCAATTTTCAATTCGTGAGTCGCGGCAATTTAACTCAGACCAAAAACTCCTCGAATCACGAATCACAACAACCAAAAGGACCTAAAATGGAACAAAAAATGAATTAGATATGGAAAATCCACGTTGCAGAGTTATCTTGAATGCAATAAAGGGTTTCAAATTGAATTCACGTACCTATCGAATGACGTGCAGCTCTTAACGTTAAGATGATCAGGTTGTAGGTATGAGTTCGAACTGTAGCATTGAAAACAGATCAGAAGCAGTTTCCCGCGAAATAAAATATTTGTTAATTGGGTACTATTCTACTATTACACCCCCAGAGCTATTCTACTGTTACACCCCCGAAAACTCAAAATTTTAGTTTTCGATGAAACTTCGCCTATAGGGGTAATCCGATGCACTGATAACGAATATAACCTTCATTTTTGGCGTCGGCGCCATTTGGCTCCAGTTGGCGCCAATTTGGTGCCAAATGGCGCCAGCGCCAAAAATGAAGGTCATATTCGTTATCAGGGCATCGGATTACCCCTATAGTCGAAGTTTCATCGAAAATTAAAATTATGAGTTTTTGGGGGTGTAACAGTAGAATAGTACCGTTAATTGAGATCAGAAAAGGTTTAAGTTATTGCCTTGCGGGGTTACACGATTACGATTAGCTTTATGATCAAAAACTATGGAGAGAGAAGATTATGAATGCGAGATTTGGGTAAGAGCACTAAGGGAAGGGGAAGGGTCGGAGTTAAGGAGAATGAGCACACGGACCAGAGCAGAAGACTAAAACTGAGGTGCCATTCTGGAAAAAGATGGTTTGTATATGCTAAGGTTGAGCACTTTGAATGATATTCTAGTTCTGATGATTTACCTGGTGTCATCTCCAGGACAACAAAAGGATATTAGCGTATAACAGTGATAAATACTAATCAACTGCTATGTTCTGAGCTAGATTATGGGCTATTCGTCCGTTCCTGTAGAAAAGAATTAAGTAAGGCAGAGGTAATTGTTGAAAAGCAATAAAAGGAGCTGTGAAGGTAGAAGGCTAAGTAATATTAATTGTTGAAAAGCAATAAAAGAAGCTGTGAAGGTAGAAGGCTAAGTAATATTACAGACGCGCAAGATTTTTGTAAATGGTTGGTAACTGAGCAGCGGTTGTAATCCAATGCTAATCTTGGAGGCTGACCCATATCCGGTACTGCCCCCATTCCATGGATGCGTCCCTAGGTACATATGGTGTTGTAACAAGGATGGGTCTGCAGCTGTTGACTGGCCCATAACCATGCATACAGGGTGTCCCAAAATTATTTGCGCCGATTTATAGCAAAATATTTGAAACTTCTCAACTGCAAAAGACGATAGAATTGCTATGCACGCTGGCTAACACTATGTGCTGCAACATGCTGAAGTCGCATTTTAAAATATCCCCCGTGAGCGCGAATAGAAGTCAAAGTTTGCTTTCGACTTGATCGCATGTGGCACTCAGGTATCTTTCTCCATTTCTTCCCAGCCGTCCTCCAGCTTTTGCATTCTAGGATTCCAAACTGACACTGCAAATTCGACAGGTCCTCTTATAATCAAAGATCATTCGTGAGATTCAAGTGAGTCAAGTTCTGGAAAATAGGATGACCATTCCTCTTCACCAATGAAGTCGGGCAGCTGTCGTCGGCACCACTCGCGGGCAAACTTGGCTCTGTGGGCTAGAGTAGCGTCCTGCTGGAGGGACTATGAAATGTTTCAGAAAACGTAGTCGGATCAATGTTTCATTTACTTCCATCAGTACGCCGTTTGAGTACTGATCTAGGTCAGTTTTCATGCCTGCACCGAAGAAACCACGAGCGGCTTACCCTTGCCAGTGATTTCCTCGAAAAACATCATTTTACTGTTCTGATAACAACCCTTTTGTGAGATATTACACGCTGGATGTTTCTTTCCGGAACGCGAACGTTTTGGTTGTTGAGGAATGGCTTTATCGTAAAAAATTTCTTGACCAGAGAAAACGACGAAGGGTTGCGTGTCACCACTTTCGACTTTCTGCATTTTTGGCCCTGCAGTGTCTGTTGAGATCGGAATTGAAGCGAAATTTCTGCATACGATAGGAACGGCAGTGAAGCTCCTGCATGACATTCTTCCATCGCGATAACTCGGATAAGCCGTGCCCGTTGACTTCCTTTTGATGGGTTACCCAGGATCCCGAACGATTGGCATACGGACCATGTTAATAGTCCTAACTTCAGAAACATTCTACCTTTCTATCTTTCCTGGTTTGTCTCTGATTCAATCCTCTTCTCTATATCGTTTAATAGCCTCCTATACGGTTATTAGAAAAATCACAAAGAATTTCATAACGCCCTTCCACTTCTCGCGCGTCAATGATCGCAAGTGGCATTGAATGAGCCTCCTCCATCTGGAAGATAATGGGAGTTCCACATCAGCAACCATGCATATTGCAAGGAAACCTTCTTATGCAACTAATTAATAACAGGTAATGTGAATTTGATAGATTATTTCCACCTTAAAAATTACTGAACTTCGGCGCAAATAATTTTGGGACACCCTGTATATCCTCAGGTATATGGAATCATTTCGGCACGCTGCGGAATCGTGGTGAAATAATTTGATTATATCTCATTAATATATTTATTCATGGCAAGCAGAGTTACACAATCAACCAAACAATCAAGACAACTGTATTACATCATACAGTTGTCTTGATTGTTGGTAAAAAATCAAGTCGTTGGAGACCCTTTTTAGCCGTTAGTTGGAGTGGAAGGTCGACTCTCCCAAAACTATCAGATACCTTCTATATTCCAAGCAACGTTCGATTGTGTGGCGCGTTCCTACTAAGAATTGTAGGGCTGATATTTCGAGTGAAAATGGGGTTTAACCCGCATTTTCAATCTAGTGATGGTTATCGGCCAGAAATTAAATTTATTAGGATTATTCAATTGCCCAGGTTGACTCTCACATATGCTCTGGATTCCTTTTATATTTTGAGCACAGGCAGGGTTTGTGGCGCGTTCTTCTTCTAATTTACAATGGTGGCACTCCAAATGGAAGTGGTTTATATGGCGCATTGCGGGGTATGTGGCGCACTCACTAAAAAATTTTCTAGAATAGAGTTATGAATCTTTGACCCTAGCCCCACCCACGCCAGTGCAAACCAATCCCACTTCGGGAATACGACGATATTTTTTCAATAGTCTCTGACCATTTTTTTTCCGAGCTCTAGAACCTTTTTGAGGAGATTTGTGAATTTTGGACTGTAGCCCCGCCCATCCCGGGCAAACCCCGCCCTTTTTGAGGATTTGACCACATTTCTCAAACAGTCTCTGACCTTTTTTATTTCCACGATCTAGATCGCTTTTTAGCACAGTTATGTATTTTTTTTTCAAAAAGACCCTTCCATTTGGATGCACGCCCCGCCCACGGCAGGCGGAATTCTGTTAAGGCTACGGATGCTCAGCACGTATTAGGTCTTTGTCACTCCCTTTCTTTATCTGGCCTCCACGCTTCTTTTGAATTAAGTTATGAAAAGTACCTCCCATTTTGAGGATGCTCCGCCCACAGCAGGTGGGCATCTCTCGTCTGGTTTGTTGAAGCTATCCTCACCTTACTCGATTTTTTCCCGGTATTTGGACCATTTCGAAGCCAAAATAAGACGTTTGGCCACTCGCACCACCCACTTCGACATTCGCATAGCTCATGTGTACTCTGCTGGTCTTATCTCAGGCACCACCATCCCGATTGCCCCGACCGACCTCCAAACGTGTTTTTGAGGTAATATTGAGTTCCCCGTTGAACATACAAATATACAAACAGCGTACACACATACATACATACATACATACATACATACATACATACATACATACATACATACATACATACATACATACA